CTGTCCCTTGGAAGTTCCCAAATGACTCCACATGCTTCTGTGGAGGAGTATAATAAAAATGCCTCATTCTTTTTTCCATATGTAGCCCTGATGTTTAATGTTTTGACGCGTTTTCCTTTTTTACAAACAGGCCACGTTGGTAGGCAGTTTTAAAGCCGTCCAGCCCAATGATGCTTTCTTTTCAACTCTTTCTGTCTTTAATATTTTCTCGCCCTTGTGCTCACTTATTTGTGGTCTGTCTCTCATTCTGTGTTTCAGTTTTCTGTCTCTCTCTTTCTCTTTCCCTCCTTCTCTTGGGATGCGGATGAAAACCAAGCCTGTTTTATTTTTTCTTCAGAGGGCGCTGAATATTTCAGTTTTGCATTTTCTCTGTCTTTTTATGTGCTCCCTCTTTCTTTTTTTTTCCAGGCCTCTTTGATGTGTCTGTGGATTCGTTATCATTCCGTTTGGATGAGCTCACAAACGCAGTTGCGGGGCGCTTTTCGCACACAGTGTATGCACGCATTATTTTTAATACTTACAGACCAGAGGCATCCATATGCACGCTTCCAATCTAGACTATTWGCTAGGCTTATCCGTGTGCTGCTCCGCCCACATCAGGCCGTACAATTGTTAAATGCTCTGCTTACATAAAAAGGTTCTTTGCATTCGTGATTAGGTTCTTCAGGCTGCATTTCTTCATTAATCTCTTTTTATATAAACTTTACATCTATATTTACGAACAGTAGTTTGCCATACGTGTGCATCATGTGTTGCCCAATAACAAAAGCAGCATGTGGTTAGAGCAGTCCAGAAAATGACCCCGCCGGCTGAATGGTTAAAGCTTCTTCACCCTCCTCTCCTCGCCTGCCGCTCTTCCTCCKCTTTAAACAGCCGTTTAGCATTGAGGGAAGAGAGGATTTCCTCTTTAGAGACGGCACATCTTTAATTTGAGCATCCTCTCCTTCCACTTTTCTGACCAGATATTCCGCCCTGACGTTGGCACCCTTCTCCCTGCCTGGCCACCCTGAGCTGTTTTTTTTTTCTCGTCCCATCCTCGGTGCCCTGTAATTGATGGTGACACGCTGTCTGACCACGCACATTCTCACAAACTGAGTCTTAAAGTCTTCTGCTCACCTGTTTTTTTATATTTTGTTTTTTTCTTTCTTTTTTTTAACAATCCAATATCACTTGTTTCAATCTCCTGCGTTTTTCTCTACTTAGCTGCTTTYGATTTTTGTGGTGTATCCTTAGAGGTACGAGCCCAGCAGCTCGTTCCATCGCACTCATAAAGCTTCCTTTGAGTTGCGTTGTCAGTCGCACAAAGCGTTTGGGACCGTGCCTCCTGAACAAAGGCCCATACACAGCCGCGTGCCAGCTCCCTCCTCTCTCAAACAAGACGTGCACTCTCCTCGTTTCTGGAAGTTTTCCTGCTATTTCTGTGACATTCTTTTGTTTCCTCTTCTCTTTTCTTGTTTCCATCTTCGCCTTCTCCACAAATTCCTTTGTGTCTGACCGAGTCCAAGAMGCAGTCAGGCAACGGGTAGGATTAATAATTACAGAGTACACAAAAAAAATGGGGAGGAAAAAAAAAAGAGAAAGGACACGGTCTGTTGTTGTTTGATGTTTAACATAAGAGAGACCAAAATTACTGAGACAAACACTTTAAAGAGCAGAGAAAGCCTGCGCATTCTTTCTTCTGTCCTTTTGCTTTTGTTCTTTGCTTTTTTTTATGCTTTGTGTTTTAGCATTTGAGAACACCAAAAATTTGTCGCCTTCGTTTTGGAAAAGGCTTAATCACCCCCCAAAAAATACACACTTTTTAATGGACTGGTGCGCAAAGGCAGAAGAATTTGGACATCCCAGCAGTTMTATGTGTGTAGTTTAAATACTACCTGCTACGTGTTATTTGATTCACACAGAAAATTGCTAATTGTACCTTTTTCTCTCCCTTCGCTTGTTTTGTGTCCTAGTACCAACTGTTCTTCTAATTGGTTAAAAGTCTCCTCCACTGGCCAGATTTCCTTTTCCCACCTGCTTGGTTGTCCGGAGTAAATAATTATCCATTTTTTARAAAATGTAGGAGAAAATATTACAGCTTGGTCTCACTTAAAAACACAATACCGTAAGCAAACAACAGATGAAATCCACACTAAGTTATTTTTAGTTATTTTTAGCATTTTCATATTTTTACATCAAAATCTGGGTCTTGGGGTGGATTGTGGTTYTAGTCAGCTGGTTCTACACAGTAACTGTTGCTTTGCTGCTTAAAAATGTTGCTTAATTGCAGGTTTGTACCATTTTTCAGTGAATTTAAATGAATTTAAATGATTTACACAGAGCTGCACTTTTGGCTCACAGCAAAAAGGTTCAAGGTTTGAATTTGGATTTTAGGTTAATTTAATGGGTTGAAATTGCCCATAGGTCTGAGTCTGAGTATGTCAGCTCTGTGACTGACTGATCGGTCTCGGGGTGCTCCCTGCCGATCACTCCCATGTCAGCTGGGTTAAGCTCAAGACACCCACCAACCCTTTCTTGTAATGCATGGATGGATGGATGGATGGATGGATGTTTTACTAAAATAACCCCTACCTTTACCTCCTTCATTTCTGCCTCTGTCATCCCCATCAGCCCTCCATCCATCCACCTCTTCACCCCCACCCCACCCTACTTACTATTGAGTTTGACAGCTGCTCGGTTGCGCTGCACATGAAATTATGGCTGGGCTGCACTCTGACAGTTCGCACCAAGTCTGTCCCCACCTCTCAGTATACCTGTCAATTCTTTTTTTTTTTTTCTTGAAACTTTGAGATATGACATCTGGCAGCTAGTAGCATGCTGGCAAGGAGGACACAGGTTTATATACAGGTGCTGGTCATAAAATTAGAATATCATGAAAAAGTAGATTTATTTCAGTATTTCC